TTAAAGTGCGCCCCATATATGTGGCTAGTGGTTGCAGGTTCGAGTCTGGTCCTGACCCTGTGCTGCATGTCATCCCTCTCTCTGTCTCTCACATTTTCCCTTTGTCCTAGCCATTAGAAGCAAAAAATGTCCAAAAAATAACTAATAAATGGTGGTAACTTCTTGTCTGTTTTCTTCAATTTGACGGATGTCTCTTCCACTCAGCATATTGTTTTTTGTTTTTCTTTTAACATCCTTGCTCATTTCTGGCCCGGTTTCCCACCTGTTACCTTCTTTTCTCGGCTGGTAACTGGTCAGTCTCAAGTTTTGTGCTCTCCATTGACTCATAATGCTTTTGCAAACTTGTTTTTTTTTTCTAATAAAAGACAGAATCATGAACAAACAGTACATGTGCCGTACCCTTTTGGTGGATTGGTTTGATATGGGCGATGCACTTAGTCAGGTGCTACCTTTTCTATTCAGAGATAATAGTTATTGTCAAAGGGTTTTGACCAATCAGGATTGAGTATCTGGCGCAGCTGGATGGTAAATTAGAAAGCCCTGCAATAATAAGAATTAAGATTTGGAGGGGCTTTAATATCTGACTGGACAGATGGTGGTTTTGTAATTCTTGATATAATAGGCTTTGGTCACTACTGTTTCATTAGCAGGCTGCAGGCTGTGGGTGGAATTTTATTTAAGGTACCCCAAGTAAATCAATCCTTAAGCGAACAATAACAAACTGTGGCAATAGGAGTGTGATTAAATTTAAAATTAGGCACTCAGCTTGCTTGTTTTGTTTGACAAATTTACATTCTGGTTGTAATTGATAGAGAGAGCTGAGAACAAGACATCATACAGGGAACAAGCTGTTTTTGGGAGTAAATATGATTTTGTCGGTTTAATTTGTACAGAAGGGGTCTTTAATCTTTCATAACCCAGGGGAGGAAAGAGGCCTTCTGGTCTTTACATGAAAGGAATTAAGGGTATGCTAAAAATAGACTGGATTTTAGGGTCATTGCGAAGGTTTGGTCGCCAGCAGGAACCCCAACCAAGTTTCGTCTCATGAACAGGGGCAAGAAAGTCACAGCAGCGTCTCAAATCCTGATTTTATCACCCTGGTGATCTTCCCCCTGCAGTCGTCGAGTGTTTTTTCTTTTGAGAAATTTTCCGTTTTTGTGGGATGGATGACTGAACAGAAACAGGAAAACAATACCGCTCTGCGGAGCACTTGTGCGTGTTTGGGTTTGTTTGTCACGTTTTTGTTCGCCAGAGTGTTTTTATTTGTTTCACTCAGGTGCAAAACACACCACAGGGAAACCACACCCATACAAGCACACATACACACATACTAACTCTCACATACACATGCACACACAAACCTCCCCACTCAAACTTATCCCCCGCTCCACCGCTGCAACTCAGCAAATGTGGCGGGCAGGGTTTAATTTTCTGGCCCCCCGCCTCAGCTCAAGCCTCATGCATTTTTCATCACCACCATCCTGTTCCCACCCAGCCACTGCCGCTGCACAATGGTATTGATTGGCGATTAAGCCATCAAACTGTTATAAAGAGGTTAATATTTTAAAACTGTTACGCTTCCCCCCCTCCTTACATTAACGTGTACCCTCCAGTACAGTTTCAAGGGGTTTTTAAGAGTTTCCGCTCTGATGCCAAGTCAGGTTATGAATGTTTGATGTAATGCAGACGGCGGGCTTTTTTGCCCCGCTCCAATACAATGCTTACCACAGCTCTGAGGTGGCGTGTTCGATCAGCTGACTGTGCCAAAGGTTGAGCGGGAACAGTGTCAGTCAGCAGGGAGACGGGGCAGGGTCACACTCTGCTAACCCCTCGTGTGGGATATGTCTAGTTGTTGACCAATTTGCTTATGGTAATTCTAATAGATCTCCGGAGGCCGCCTGGCAATATTGAGGGTTCAGCGTTAATTGTGACCGCTGGGCAAAGAATCTGCAGTCTCATCCTATTCTAGCATCTGATGAGCAGCTTGAGTTATTTTTAGGTGATAATCCTGAGGAGAGAGTCTTTTTTCCCCCACTTCTTAAAGTAATGCATGTAAATATATTTAACTCCTCTGCTAAACCAGCTGTAAGTTGCTCATGTTTTTCATCCTCTCAGCTTTTTTTGATAGAAATCTGAAGCAAACGAGCAGAAGGTGAAGGATCATCAGATTTTAGATTTATTTAAATGGTATCTGTGGTTTACAACCTGCATAAACAGTCTCCGATAATTGTCAAAATCCCTCAACACTGGCTGCCTTTAACTTGATCTGAATTAACACTATGATATATTTGATAAAGCTCATGTGAGGGACTCCCTGTTGTGTCAATTTTTGCGCCCCTTGTGGACAGAGTAATTCTTGTCCTCTGCATGCTAAAGCAGTCTTCTGACAATCAAATGTACCATATATTGGGAATAGCTTACATGGGCACTGTAAAAACAGGGTTGTTTCCTCATCTGGCATCAATAATTATGATCTAAAAATCATCAGTGATGGTCTTGTTTGTTTTTGGATATCATGAAAAGGCATCAATATGAATTTCAGTCTGTTTTGACCAAAAAATATTGAAGACTAAATACGCCAGTGGGCTTTAGCAGCCCCCTAAGCAACATCCCTATATGGCAGCCACCTTTGTGGGGGCAACGTTCGCATTAAAAGCATTAAATGTGCATTGACAATATATCATAACTTGCTTTCTCATGCAGTTTCCTTTATTTTTGATGCCAAAACAGGTGCTAGTAATACAGAACATTTGATTAAATTATTTTTTTTAAATCAAATGTTCTGTATAAATAGTATGTATAAATGTTTTGGTGTTGACGATTAAATAAGCAAGAAATGATTTATTTCAATGTACATGCAATGCCTTTAATGGGAACGATGCCCCCACTAGCTTAGCCGTCCTATAAGCACATGGCTCAAAGGGGCGTGTCGTATGTACGTATTGATATCTAAGATTTCACCTTACCTTACAATTTTAAAAAATTATCCATAATCTCATATTCAACACACAAAACAAGGTATTTCAAGCATTTTCAAACAAGTTAAACATTTGAGAAACTACTCTTGACTTTTAGCCGAGAATTTTGAGGATTTATCCATTAACCTGCATTAGTTTACTGAAATATATTTAACACACGAAGCTAGCTATTTTAACCATATATCCACAACTTGAGACATTATCATAATGTTATTTTTATATCTTCCAACTCTGTTATTTACTCTTGTAAAATTTAAAAACTGTATGTGTGAGTTTTATCCGGATATTTCATTTATCATCTGATTACTAATCGTCAAACATAAGAAGCTTGCTAAGCCGACCAATCACATTTGCAAGAATATTTCAGAGGTATATGCTGTGCCTGGTTTTCTAACAATAGTCAAATTAACTATAACCAGGTCAGAAATTAATTTAAAGATTGTGTTTTGAGTATGCAAGAAGGATATGAAGAGGAAATATGCAGAACCCTTGTCCTCTTGAGGAATGGAAACACATATCTCGAGGCTTTACATGTGAACAAAGCAGAACAAGGGCAGAGAGAGGCGAGAATGGACATGTAATGGATTTATTTTGTGACTGTGTTTGAGAAAAAGTAATGTTGAGAAACAGAAAGTGTCAGAGGTGTCAGTCCAGCAGGATTAACACCTGCAGGTCTTGGGACTCGAGGCTAAGAATATCAAGAAGTAGACAAAGGAAGGTGGGTGCACAGCCGCCATTATGAGCCGGACAAAGGGCTTTATGGAGGGACTTTCACTTTGACTTCAAACCAAGGTCAGGAAGAGGAAGCTGCAGATTCCACCTGTTATCTGTCCCCAGCTGTCTCAACTACTCACTGTCCACAAGCCTACATCCATTCAGTTGATATGCCATTTCTCTGCGTGTCATTCATTTCCTCGCTCCGCTTGACAGTGCAGACAAGTGACTCATATAATAAGAGTGGTGCTCTCCATTAGTGCCAGTCAGTTTGCGCTGTTTAAGTCCTTCCAGTGCTCTCCTCCAGGGCAGGGCTGGATAACACGCTTGAGCAGTGTCCCAATCACTGTGATCACCTGTGACAAACCACACTGAGGCCCGATCAATACGCTGCTCTCCCAAGGGCCGAGGAATTAATGTAACTCCGCTGGCCTGCAAGCCTGTGTGTGCTGTCACTGTGGCTCAAATACAACTCCAACAAAACACTTTGCTACAGAAAATATCAAGAAAGGGAAAATATCTCTGCCTGGATTGGATCAGGAGGAGGAAGCAGTGAAAAGGATCCCTCCAAAAGATTGTCACCAAGATCTATACACAATCTTTTGTAAAACAACATAAACTTGTGTATATAATTCAGAGCTTTTTTTGGGGATCTCAAGCATTGGCTGCCTGTGACCCTGTCACTGGTTCACAGATTTTACTTCCTTGAATCACTTCCCAAGGAGGTGACCACTGCAGACCTGGAACACCCACAAGAGCAGTAATTTTGGAGATGCTCCGACCCTGTCGCCTCACCATCGCAGTGTCACCCATTTCAGAGGCGTTCACATCCCTGTGCTTGCAGATTTTTTGCTGCTTCCAACACATCAACTGTGAGGACAAAATGTTCGATTCCTGGCAAACGTCTCTAACGCAACGACAGATGCCACTGGAAAGAGATAACTAATGATATTCACTTCACCTGACTGTGCCACTGGTTGATGTATATATCAGTATAATCAATTTAAGCAGAACCAAAGCAATGGAGCTAAAACTGTGGCTATTCTGGTTGGAAAAGAAATCTTAGACTGTTTAAAGGTCCAGGTAACACATACACACAAAGGACAGATTCATTTTTTTCTCTGTGTTTTCAAAATATAGTCCTTTCCATGCCAGATGTCCTTTATTAAGAGCTGTTTCTCTATCCACACAAAAACCAGTAGCAGTTGAAAACACTGACAAAATGGAGTTTCCATAATTCTTTACTCTGGCAAGCATTTTCCAAAACTTCAGTTTACTCATGAACACGAGGCCTAAACTCGGAGGAAAATGCTGCGTTACAGTTGTACTCAGGAGTCAGAATTTCCAAGCTGGAACGCCCTCCTGAAGTCAGATTTCCAACTCGGAAAGCCAGAAGATCCTCGCCAACCCCAACTTGACGACAATATCATCATCAAAGATGGCAGCGCAATGCATCAACAGTAGAGTAACTGTGAAAGCTCTCATAATGTATTATTTATTATCACTTCTGTTTTGTTTTTGTGAAATTAATTAAGTGGTATATGTTATAGTGCCCAACAAACAATGTGAACACGGTGCTATGGTGTTTGTAAGAGTAAAATACTGCGCTATACGTTGTTTACAACTGGTATAGCTGACAATAATTAATAACAGCTGACAACGTCTAACAACAGCTGACAATTGTAAACAACAGCTAACAACAGCTAACAGTTGGCAACTATCTTGGTTTTCTGAAACGTTAACTGGAACGCCATCAACTCGGGTGTGACGTAATTCCCAGCTCCAACATCTGAGGTAACTGGAACGCAGCAAAAATAAGTATACGACTGTGTGAAACAAAGTAAAGTAAGAAAGGAAAAACTGTCTCGACCGTCAAGTCGTGCGTTTGTCCCAGTCTTTGTCCCAGTTTTTACTCCACAGCAGATTTGCACAGCTGGACGCAGAGGCACAGTGCGATAACTCATCAGAGGACAAATCAAGCCGGACAGGAAGTGAGAAGCTCAAACAACAGTCAGTGTAAATGACGGATCAGATTCCACTTAACTGCATTGACTAAACAGCATCATGAGTGGGGGTATCCTCGGTCTGAGACTCCAGCTGTTGGGCAGTGCTGCTCCATGCTGCGCTCTAAAGACACAGCTGGTAGGTGTTGACAGATGTGGACGCACAAAGCCAAACCGTGCACAGATCTGGCATAGGGTCACTCAGAGCGCTCGCCATCACTGCGACTTTTTTGTCATGTTTGAATCAGGCAGTTTTGGTTGCAACAGTTCCCTTAAAAAAGCGGAGAAATCCTTGAGGGATTGCTTGAAACATAACAGAGAGGAAGAAAGGGAAAACAGGCCCAGTGGAGAAAGTCGCAGAGGCACAAATGAATGCAGTGTGTGGGAGATTCAGAGCAGGCAGGGGGGGAGCACTGAGCTCCGACGGTGTCTCCTAAGGGAGAGTGTTCACAGCTATATTAATATAACACAGAGGGGGTAGTTAGAGAAGCTTTGTTTGTCTTGAGCTAAATTAACACCCCCTTACCATCATAATAGCCGTGTCATTATAGGAGGGGTGCTTGAAGAGTGTTTGCGTGTATGTTATTCCGTCTATTTAATGAGGCGGGATCTCTCCTATCAAATAAATTAGCGGTTGAATCTATAGAGTTGTTGGCGAGTATTTTGAGGTTTCTTCTCCTTTGTCATTCCTTTTGTGTAAGTTTGAAACTGCCTCGAATAAATGCACACAGTGTACCCGATGTCCAGCTGTTCTGTGTCTTCATTAATCGGTCGTAAACTGTTTTTTTCTTTCACTTGTCTGCAGCATGTGTTTGCCGGTCTTTGTTCCCCCTCCCCTCACCTCCTCTCCTTCCACCTCCCTCCCAGCTCATGTTGAACCACCTGCTGCGTTTGCCTCCAAACACCACCCGCCCACCGCCGCTACCCCCATGCCTGCGAGAGTTTGTCCCTCATTATCGGTCCTTACTGCACCCCGACCAACCTTCCCACCCAGCATGGTGTCAGAGCTCGGGTACAGTATTGTCTCATTATCTCTGCAGACAGCAGAGAGGCCGAGCATTATGAGACATCAGACACTCCCCCTCAGTTAGAGGACCAGGGGCTTCTAACAGAGCTGACAGGTGATCAAGACCGGCCAAAGGTTTAATCTGACCAGATAAACACCCAAGAACCGCATGACTTTGTCTTAGTTTAGCTTCAGCATCTTGGCTCACAAATTTATCATGAGTGACCCTCATGTGCAGTGTAGTGCTGTGACCACAAAATGAATAAATAGGAGAAATTACAGCACAGGGGAAGCATTTTTCCATTCTTTCCACCTGTAAATGGAGAAAAATACTTCAAAGAAAAGCCAAAGAAAAGCCAAATATAGATTTTTTTTTACTGTTGCGCAAGTTAAAGCAAACCAGGCCTCAATGTTCAGCAGGTTTTCTGAATAAAACGACAAAAAATATGTATAATGTAGGCAGCAAATGTAGGAATAGTAGAATAAAAGTAGTTTTTTTTTTTTAACTATGCAAGAAGGTTTCTCTGTTTTTGTCATTTCTGTTTCTTGACATAGCTTTCCTTCCTTGGTTCAGCCAATCTTTGATCCGGAACAATCTTATAAAGGTGACATTTCAAACCTTCTGCTTTCATGGCATTTCATGATGTTTTACCCTCACAGGATTAGGCACTGTCACCTCTTTGTCTCACCTTGAGGGGAGGCTGTAAGCTCAGAGGTAGAGTCATGGGTCGCTTACACCAAGCGCGAGTAAAATCATCTACTCGCTTAATTCACGGGAATCTAGACACGTGAATTAATAGTATTTACTCGCTTCATTCGTGCGTTAACTGTAATTTCAACAGTAATCCCTGCCAATTCAACTGTGGGATCAAGTGATAGACAGCGGTTTTTGAAAACTTACCAGGTAATCCAACCTCCTCACTCACTTAGCTCTAGACTAGCTCCCTTTTATTCTGGTTTCGGAAATTGAAAGAGGAGGTATCATATAATTCGGGCACCCACACACCAACAGTTTGTCCTCCATTTTAGATACCAACAGCTGTCCGTTTTCATATATCACCTGGCAACCTTTGTGCTCATAAGTCATCACGGCATGAATATCCGCTAAAGTTGAGATATTTTCAGCTCCCACCTAATGCGCATCATTCGCGCTGCCAGAATAGTAGGAGCGTCTAATCGCGTCTTTGCATTGACTAAACATGTAATTCATTCGTGCAAATGATTTTTCTCGCACTTGTTGTGTGGAGACAGTCAGTCATCTCCCATTCTGGGGTTTCATCCTAAGTCCTACTGTCCACATGTTGAAGTGTCCTTGGGCAAGACACTTGACCCCATCTGTGTGAAAGGGATCAGTTAGAAACTGATGGGCTCTAGACATAGCAGCCTTGTAATCCAAAAATAGTCCATTTTACTCTTTACCTTTTTTTGCATTGTTGAGCTATGGTTAGAGCTCAGATTAGAGCTAGAGATTAGATAATTTAACTGGGCTACTGTCCTTGTCCCAGTTTACAAGCACCAAGCAAGAATCAAATCACTGAAGGAAGCATGTCAACAGTAGTTGGTGACATAGCCCCTTTTTAGCTTATAAAAATGGGGTCATCTCTAGGTTGACCTGCCACGTCACGTACCAGGCAATCAACAGGTGTATAAGCAAGTGGTGGGATGTTCATTGGAGGATGGAAACACCATGACTTTTAAAGCTCTGTACCTTTTGTATATGAATGATACGACAGCTCTTTAATTTTCACATCCTTTCTCTTATGTAAAGGTGAGGCATGCACAGAGTGTAAACACTGAAGCTGGTCATTCAGTTTTTTTCGTCCGAGGGAAGTTAGATTTATTTCAATTTCAGTTGGACTGAGGTGTTTCCATTAGGAGTGTCAAAATTGCTCCAGAATGACGTTTGAATATTTGTTCTAGAAATGACACATAGGTTTGAATATCTAGCTTACACAGCTTGCATGTAACTTCATCTCGCTCAGCATTTTTTCTGTCTACCATGTCTGCCCAAAATCAGAAGAATTTCCAAATTCAGCTTCGAAAGTTTGTTTGAGTCCAGACCACTCTCGCCGAGTTTTGCTCTGAACACCCCGCCATCTCTCTTTGCATGTTCCACAGACGGTTTTTGTCAAGTCTCACTACAGGTGCAGCTCTGGTGACTTGTCCCTGACCCGTCTTTACAGTGCACTCAATCGCAAAGCAGTCACTGTTTTGTTTATTTTTTTACTTGTTTTCTCTTTTTTTCTACTCATTTTCATCCTGTTGTTTATTTAATATTTGAATATTGATTTTCACATTTGAATCTTGTTTTTTTTTTATATTTGAATATATATTTGAATTTAGAATATTCGTTGACAGCCCCAGTTTACATGTATTTCAAAAGTTCAGGATTAGTCACACTAATGCAACAAATCCATATTTTGAACAATATATAAAGTGACTGTCCGAATCAGAACTAGCCTTACCTGCATACGCTAACCTGTCTTAATCTTATACACTGTTTTAACCACAGCTTATCTTAAAACCAGATGAAGGATATTTGTCTAGCTCAGCCTGTAGCCCCAAAAGTTTTTGCAGAGAACCAGAAAAAGAATAAAATCTTGTACACAAACAAATGTTTACAACTTCCATCTGTTTCAGTAACTTTTTCCTTTTCTTAAAGATGATATTTTGGTCTTTTTAAAGCTTTTATTGATAGTGGACAGATTGGGAAACTGCAAAGCGAGATGTGGAGTCATGCTGCAAAAGGGCTGTTGGTCAGATTTGCACTCAGGACACCCACTTTAAGCCTCAGTATACGTTCACAGACTGTGTGATATGAGCTCAGTCGACACCCCTATGGTTTATTTTTGAGAGGATGACGACTTTGCAGATGCTTCTGCTCCCACTACAAACTTTGAGAAAATGAACTCTGCAGGCACCCTCTCCAAAAACAGGTTACATCACCATTTTTAATCACAGAGAAATCTCCAGATGGGATTTTTTTTTTGAGTAAAATCTTGATCGAAATTTTAAGAATCTTTACATTTCCTCCTCCCCATGCGTGATCAATACAATGCTGTTCACATAAATCCTTATTGTCATCATTGATTGGTTAATATGAAGAGATGAGGTGGAAATGTCTGGCCAAAAAAAACCTTTTGATTTGAGTTGTAATAATGTGAGAAAATTGAGCGTGAAAGCGGTTTATTTCAGATTATTGTTTCCCTCTCAAAGGTGCTGTAATCCAAGTTTATCTAAAGAAAACCGCACCGAAGCAGGTTTGTCATAACTAAATATCTGCTCCGTTTTTTCAATGCATGGCTTTAAATGCACCTTGGCTCCCGATCTCCTCTTTGAGTCATCTCTCCAAATTCCTTCTGTCTTCTCAGAGCTCCAAAAAGCAACACGTAACACTCGTATAACTGCTCGGCGGCCTGTTTTTCTTGGTTTCGGTGATGAGGGTGGCGAGGCGG